ACACACACACACACACACACACACACACACACACACACACATACATATACAGCTCCAGAGGAGCACCACTACAAAACCTAGCTAAACACTTAGCAAAGCAGCTACAGCCCCATGCTGAAGCAGCAGCTTCACATGTACAAAACTCATACCACCTCTTGGAAATGATCAAAGATCTACACATGGAACAAGAAGATCTGCTTGTAAGTTTCGACGTGGTTTCATTATTCACTCAAGTCCCGATAAAAGAAACTCTTGAAATCATCAAAAATAAATACCAACCAGCTAAACACCTCATGGAACTAGCAGAACACTGCTTAACCAACACATATTTCATATACAAAGGACAAAGATACAAGCAAATTGAAGGAGCCCCTATGGGATCACCACTGTCACCCGTCATTGCAAACCTGTTCATGGAAGAATTCGAATCCAGAGCCCTAGCTAATGCCTCCCACAAACCCAAACTATGGTTAAGATACATCGATGACACATTTGTGATTTGGCCCCATGGAAAAGAAAACCTAAACAATTTCCTAACACACCTAAACAGCACACACCCCAAAATCAAGTTCACCATGCAAACGGAAACAAACAAACAACTACCATTCCTAGATGTACTAATCTACAAAAAAAAAGATGGCACACTAGGACATACCATATACCAGAAGAAAACACACACCAACCGCTACCTCAACACCCAATCCCGCCACCACCCAGCACAGATAAACTCCGTGGCCAAAACACTAATCGCCAGAACCAAACGCCTGGCAGACAAGACACACATTAAGACTGAACTATGCACCCTGACTAAAGTACTGACAGCCAACGGCTTCCACAAAAGCAAAATCACCGGCTTGATCCACAAAAACACACTGAGACATAATGGAGATCTAGAAGATGAACAGACCTATGGAACAGCTGTCCTGCCCTACATAAGAGGTACTCCAGACAAAATCAGTAAGATACTACACAGGCATCACATCAAGACTGCCTTCAAAACAGACAGAAAAATAGCAGCCATCCTAAGAAACCCCAAAGATAAAATTGACCTGGAAAACCAAGGCATGTATGAAGTCCCCTGTGCATCATGCCCTGCCACATACATTGGACAGACCAATAGAAGAATAAGTACCCGCCTGGATGAACACAAAAATGCAGTAAAAAAGCTGGAACACACTTCCTCACTAGTCCAACACATGAATGCCATAGGTCATAGCATCGACTTCAATGGCACCAAAACCCTAGTCACTATAGAAAACCCCAGCCACAGGATTATCAGAGAAGCCATAGATTGAAAAAAGACCTGAAAGCATGAATAGAAGAGATGATTCCACCAGACTGTCAATTATTTGGAAGCCTGCACTCACAAACAAAAAAATCTCCACACCACTAGCCAGGCAAACACCTGGCCACAAACAGACCCCACCTGATACCTCCAGCTCAAACACACCCCAACCAGGCACCCAGATGAAACCTAGTTTCCTAATAAATGATAGCCGTCCGTTTACTCGGAGCCAAGCCGCACTAAAAGCCAGGAACACAAGGTTGCCAGCCAATCAAGACAAAAAAAGCCACAAAACAGACAGAAGATATGAGAAACACCAATCAAGCAGAACACAGCAAACTCCAAGACCAATAAACACAGACCAAGACTCCCAACCAATCAGGATGAAGAAAAAACCATTCTGGCACAGCAGTAGGCTGGCACTAAATTTAAAACTGAAACAACTGTGAAAGCCTGACTCACAGACAAACCCAATACAGAAGCCTGATGATGGCAGATGAGATTCTGCCGAAACGTTGCTACAACTTTAAAAGCACAACTACAATGACGTGGGGCAAATACCCGAACAAAGCTGAATACCATACATGTAAGTACCCGCGAAAACTTAAGAAAACATATACATATACATATTTGTAATGATGATGATGTTTGTAAGTTAACACCTTGGACACTGCTCAACATAGAAAGAAAATGTATGATATAAAATAATAAAAATCAGAAAAAAAAAGAAAGGAAACCGGTTTGGCCTCAGAAAGAACGGCAGTTTTTAATGGGATGTGTCATGGCTGAAGTTTGGCTCACTTTGAAAACGCTTTGCTCCCAGCTGGACAGCCAACCTTGAAGCGAACCCGGTAGGGGCCATCTTTGAGGCTTCGGGGTTGCCACTAGTTGAGAGCGGGGAGGGAAATAATTAGCTGGGATGTTGTCGTCAAAAATGAAAAGTTTTCCTGTGGGCACCAAGGTCATTCCAACAGGTGGCCTATGAGAGGAGGAGCGAAGTAACCAAGCAACTGTCCGGCACCTCGATTGGACCATGGAAAAATTATTCTCCTTTAATCTGATGAAAACTGCGGGAAGTTTCAGAGTCGGTTTTCACCAGTCTGTGCCAATAGGATGTATCCATTAAAATTGTCCTTTGAGGATCTACCTGCCTCGGAGTTCTGCTTTCTAGGGGCACATTCTATGGGAATGCCAGGGGGGAGCTGCTACCAGTTCACGCCAGTTCGGGGCGAACCGGATGCTAGTTTTACAATCTGGTTTGCCGAACCTTGTAGTTGCAACCACTGGCAAGCTCATTTCCGGCCTCCGGAGCCGGGGAAAAGCCCCCCCCCGTGGTGCATGAGGTCGACAAGCCACGCCCACCATGGCCACGTCCAGCCAGAGAACTGGTTGCAGAGAACTGGTTGCTAAAAATTTTTTTGAAGCCCATCCCTGTGGAATGCTGGCATGGACAAGAAGCAATGGGAGGGAAGGAATGGATTGGAATGTAAGGGAGGTATTTGTGTGTGTGTGTGTGTGTGTGTGTGTGTGTGTGTGTCAAAAGAACATGAGAGCTAGCGTCTAAAGGTCGACTGCTGGGGACGTCTACTAGACGAAGAGACTGTTCCTGTTGTGGTTAGCCGGCAGCAGGCGCAGGCGGCGGAGGAGAGCGAGGACTCAGATGAGGGGCCAGGAGCATCGGGAAGTGGACTGCTGCCTTCAGAGGTTGTGGGGGGGCTGGCAGCAGCGATGAGGAGGTTCCCGAGGAGCCTGTGCCAAGTGTGCGTGCGCGCAGGGCTGCTCGTAGGAAAGAGCAGCTGCAGCAGCACGGGCGACTCGGGAGTAAGGCTGCAAGGTAATGGCCCCTCCTTCAAGAAGATAAAAGGCAGCTGTGAAGCAGATCTTCTTTGCAGGAAGCAAAGACGTTTTGAAACTCAGCCTCGTGGACGTTACAGTATCTTAGGTTGGTATTTGAAGACTCTTGTGTTGCGAAACCTTTCTGATCTGTTATTCTTGGAAGACTAGCACAGTTTTGGCGAAGCTTGTGCTTTGCAGTAGCCTTTTAACCGGCGATTCGCAAGAATCGTTAAAAGGTTTCTGTTCCCTTTGGTTCGTGTTTGTTTTATTGGAAAAGGGTTTGGGTCAGAACAGTTACCCAAACAAAAATGAATGTGATGGATTGGAGGAAATAAAACAACTACGGGAGGGCCAGGAGAAAAGAAGGACGTTTAATTATGCTATTGGCACGCGAACCCGTTTAGAATTGGCTTGGCTACTTCCGTATCCATGCCAGCTCAGTACACTGTACTCTTAGAAAGTGAAAATGCCCCAGGAGTTTTTTATTTGCTGAATGAACTACGAGGGACGGTTGACAGAATAGAACAGAACAACAGGGTTGGGAAAAGGGACCTTGGGAGGTCTTCTAGTCCAACCCCCTGCTTAGGCAGGAAACCCAAAACCACTTCAGACAAATGGTTATCCAATCTCTTGCTAAAAACTTCCAGTGTTGGAGCAGCCACAACTTCTGGAGGCAAGTTGTTCCACTGGTTAATTGTCCTCCCTGTCAGGAGGTTTCTCCTTAGTTCTAGGTTGCTTCTCTCCTTGATTTTTTTAAACAAGCCGGGTTTGCAGCATCCAACGAGCTAAGGTACGTCCCCAATACCTCAAAGCTGTAGGAAAACGGGGTCCCAAATATACACCTATAAAATTACGCTGACTGGTCTGCCCAGCATTACCCTGTGGTAAGATGGGTGGCCAATAAATTTGATAAATGAAAATAAAATAGAGCCAAGGACAGCACCTCAGAGAAAGCAGGAAAGAAAAAACATTGAACTAGAGGGAGATTCCAGATAGGGACTACAGCACCCATCGCCCTTAGCTAGCGGGGTCCACTAACTTTGGAATGGCTGAATTGTGCTTTCACGTCTGCCCGGAAGGGCTGGAGAGAAACCAGGAAGTTGGCCTCCATCACCCCATTTCTTTTTATGAGAACGCTCCCCCAAAACCTACCACTCCACCAATCACCAGGATGCCCATGGAAGTCCTGGAGGTGAGGGAGGCCAGGCCGGTCACCATGGAGACCATCAGTTCCTCCTGAGTCAAGGACCCCTGTGGCATGGGGGGCAGGCTTGGGTTCGCCGGGGTCAGGGGCAACGGACGCTGAACCTGGTGGGCAAAAATGGGATATTTATGTTGTGGTCCGACAGTGGCTAGCAAATCTGGGCTCGGACAGTGAGGAGGTTGGGGAGGAACCTGGGCCAGTCCTGGAGTCTGGGGAAGGGCTCTGCGTCGGAGGCAGAGACGGGGCCAGGCCCGTCCGACAGTTATCAGCTGCCTTCGGAGTCGGAGATCAGTGGGGAAGAAGAACAGCTGGAGCCTGTTCCCAGTGTGCGCATGCAAAGAGTTGCCAGATGAAGGGAGAAGCCGAGGAACAAGGGCCGACTTGGGAGTAAAGTCACAGGCGGACGGTGAATGGCCCTTCCCCTAGAGTATAAAAGGGGAGAGGGACTTTGCAGGAAACTATTCGTCCACTCCGGCATGCTTGCCAAGTATTGCTGCGTCTGAAAGATATCGGCCTGGCTCCTCTCCAAGCCTGATAAAGGTTTGTAATTGTGAACTATCGTGAAAGATTGTTGGCCGGGACTTTGCTGGAGAGGAAATTCATTGTAAATCAAACGAAAGGGTTTTATCGGGACGAGGACTCAGCGTCGTGCTCTTGGGGGAAGAAGCTGTGGTCAGAACAAGTTAGGGGCAGGAAAGGCAAGAGAGGCTGCTGCCTCTGGGGGGGAATTTCAGCCTCTGGCACCCATTCTGCAGATGAAGCAACCGAGGCCAGGGAAAAGGACACAGGGGAGTAAAACTCCACGCCAGCAAAGGTCAGTTTGGAAGGATAACGAAGACAACACATCTCGGCCTCCCTCGGTGGGTTTTGACAGGATGTATCGCAAGGTCTCGGCCGAAGCCAAGCCTCCCTGTGCAGGGGGAATCTACCTCGCGCTATCAAGCCTCCATCATTCTCACCTGGTCGCTGTAGCCCATCAAGGCCCGGCGTGTATTTTTGGGCCCCAGAAACCGGTTCACCAACATGGTCCAGCCGAGTGAGAAATGGAACTGGATGTCTTCCTGGAAGTCGGCGCACAGCTTGTCGCAGTTCAGGTCGTAGCTGAGGGTGAAGCACTGTCTGGGGACCAGCAGCTCGATCTGCCCCCTCAGGGAAACGGGGAGGAGCGGCTTCAGCCCATCTGAAAGGCAGGGAGGGAGAAGATGTGTGTGTGTGTGTGTGTGTGTTAGGGCACCCCACATCTCAGCACAACTCGGGGAGGAAACAAGAGTTACCGCCTGGGGGTGGGACTAGAGGACCTCCAGAGTCTCCTTCCCAAGGGATGCTCACCAATCATTTCTTGCTGCACGATCTGCAAAGAGGCGGAGATGGAACCAGAGCAACGATCGGACATGTTTCGGCCCAGGCCTTCCTCGATGTGACGATGCAACTCCTAGGAAAGGGGAAAAAAACACACGAGGGAATTCTGGGAGCTGAAGTCCGCTTCTCTTAACGTCCTTGGTGCTCTCGGAGTGTCCGGGCTCGGGGTGCGGGGAGCTGGGGAAGGAGAACTCAAAACTACTCCTAGTGCCATCGGGTCAGCGCCGTTGGTTCCTTCAAGGGCAAGGCCTGGAGGACAACATCATTCAATACACCGGAGACGGGGACTGTTGGCAAAACCATTTATTTTAAGGTAACTGGACAGGGGGAGGGAACTGGGGGGAAGCGGGAGAAAGGGAAAGGAACTTTAACGGGCGAAAACTTCGGCGCCAGCTTCGCCTTCCTGCAACCACTTGTCTTTTAGTAAAAGAATTCGAATGGAGTTGGGAATCTTCCTTTCCTAGAAGGCCAAGACCTGGTCAGGGCCGAAACGGAACTTGGTTGCTTTCTTGCAGATGTTTCGTCACCCGAATTGGGTAACATCAACAGCGCTAGAAGGGGAGCACCAGAAGGAAATCCCTCCTCCTTCCTAGCTCTGATGACGTTACCTAACTTGGTAATGAAACGTCTGCAAGAAAACCCACCCGGCTCAGACAGCGCCAAGGACCCTTTCGTGGCAACCCTGAGCTACACGTATTCATTGATGCCTCTCAAAGTCATCGAGGTTACTGTGTTACCGAGCTTGATAGGTTTGGGATGAAGAGAGGGACACGGTGAAATGTTTCCTTATAGGGCCTTTGCCTGCGAAGGATTCAACCTTCGAATGTGGGTTTTTCCGTCGAGGGGAACAAAACCGCAGCGGGGCATCAGGCACCCCAACACTTCCCAGGGAACGACCCAGTCTGCGTTTAAGCGGCTTACGTTCTTATAAACCTTCAGGACCACGGGGGAAGGATGGAAATCCAGCTGAAACTCATCCACTAACACCGAGAGCTTCCGGATCTCTTCCGCCATGGCGTTGGAGACCTGGGAAAGGAAAGGACAACCACAGGCTGCATTGCCTTTCCTTTACAAGAAAGCAAACCCCCCACCGCAAAAATGCAAAACGGAGGAAAACCAAATCTGCAAATGTTTTGTCTTTGGAAGCCCAAATCAGGGTGCTTGAGGGCAGCAGGGACTAGCCCTGATAAAGACGCTCTTGAATCCAGATTTTCGGTTTCCTTGTTGCCGGAAAGGCACGCTTGGGTGTTTCCTGCTGGGACGGTTTTTCCTGCGAGGAATCGGCGGCGTTAAGCCAGGCTCTGAGTTCGGGGCAAGGGCCTCTCACCTGGCGCTCCACCTCTTCCGTGATCTCCTTGATTTTCAACTTGTAGCTCTGAGTGAGCAGGTCCAGCTGTTTCTCTATGAATCCCAGGCGCTCCTGGCGGTCATCCCACTTCTCCAGGCAGTAAACCCTGCAAAGACAGAAGGAAGGAAGGAAGGGAGGGAGGGAAGGAATAAGCAAGGAGGGAAAGAAGGAAGGAGGAGAATGGGAGGGTGGGAGAAAGGAAGGAATAGGCAGGGAGGAAGAGAAGGAAGGAGGGGAAAGGGAGGGAGGAATAGGGAGGGTGGGAGGGAAGGGAGAGAAGGAAGGAATAGGGAGGGAGGGAAGGAAGGAATAGTGAGGGTGGGAGGAAAAGAATAGGGAGGGAGGGAGAGAAAGAATAGGGAAGGAGGAGGGAGGGAGGAAGGGAAGGAACAGGGAGGGAGGGTGGGAGAAAGAAAGAAAGAAAGAAAGAAAGAAAGAAAGAAAGAAAGAAAGAAAGAAAGAAAGAAAGAAAGAAAGAAAGAAAGAAAGAAAGAAAGAAGGAAGGAAGGAAGGAAGGAAGGAAGAAGGAAGGAAGGAAGGAAGGAAGGAAGGAAGGAAGGAAGGAAGGGG